CAGTGGAGTGAGCATGTGGAACGGAGCCAATGTCTGCTCGCTTTTTATCCTAGCGGCTACTAAATAGCACGTGGTCAGCCAGAGTGTGCCTCCCCTCATGTAGGGGAGGCTCAGTCAGTTAAGCATCAGACTTCGGCTCAGGTCATGATCTCATGGTTCATGGGTTCAAGTCCCGCATCAGGCTCTGCACTGCCTGGGATTCTCTCTCCCTCTCTCTGCCCCTCCTCTGCCTCTCAAAATAAATAAAACTTAAAAAAATAAATAAATAAAGGACAGGTGAAGGGAACAGGGGACATTCTAGGGCAAGAGAAGACAGTGCTCTGGTGTGAAGTGTCTTTGAAGGTGTGCCTAATAAGGGCAGAGGCCTGGGTTGAAGATTCTGTTCTGCTACTTACTAGCTCTGTGACCTTGGACAGGTCTGTTTACTCATCTGTAAAATGGGACAATAGTGCATATTCTGCCTTCTTTCCAGGTCCCAGTAAATGAGCTCTTTCTAGAATATAAATGTGAGATCCCATTTTACTGTTATTTTTCATCTGGGCAGGATTGTTTCAGAGCATTCCCAGAAGCTGATGGGGAGAAGTGGTGCATGCATTGTTCAATGGCTCTTTCTTGGGTGAGGATCGCTTGGTTGTTGAGAGGATGCCCCTGAACAAAGTCCTGGGCATCACAGTCAGCCCCAGTGTTCAGGATGATTTGCTGTGACCCTTAAGAAGTCTGGAGTGCATTGGGACTTACAGGACTGCGGGTCCTGGGGCTTGGTTTTAAGTCCAGACTCTGACAGCTAATAGTTGTGGGATCTTTGGCAAGTCGCTGCCCCCTCTGGGCTTCAGTTTATACTTGTGTGAACCATGGAGTTGAATCTTCCAGTTTGCTCTCATCCCTAAATAGCCTGGTTCAGAAAATCCTGGAAGCTGCCAGGCTTTGTGTGTAGTGTGTATGTACCTAAGTGTCCTCCAGTCTTTTGGGGGGTCTTTCTGTGTCTCCCCCCATTCTGGGCGTCTGCTTCTTAGGACTCTCCTGTTTTTTCCTTAGAGCCTCTGTCCTCTCTCCCGCTTTGTTCCCTCTTCCTTGCTGGTTTCTGTCACCTCTTCCCACCTCTGGGTCCCTGCCTCCCCCATTTGTTTGGTCTTTTTCCTCTGCTCTTCTTTATATGGGTATTTCTTTTCCCCTTATTCTCAATTTCCTGGCTCTCCACTCCCTACCCTTGCCTGTATGGCTGAAGGCACCCCCCACCCCCAC